AAAGAATTTCAACCATATTATGAACATTTTAAAAATCAGTAATGTCTAATCAGGCTAGATTGGAAGAAAATTCTCCTCTAGTATTGTATGTTTTATTACTAGCCATGGATTAAGATAGAAATTGTTTTAGAATGTTTAGCTGCTGAGATTTGGAGCTTACTTTTGCAGTTACCTGTTTAGGTTCTTTGTTATTCCAATCCTTCCTAAATATTTAATTCTGCATTTTTCTTAACGTGGGAAGACCTTGACTACTAACATTTATTTCCTTTCCTCTCTTCCTCCTCTATTACTTCCAGTCACAGTTTCAGTACATTGAATTCCATTGTTCCTTTCCCTTTCTGTATGTCTATAGGACACATTTAGTACAGGAAAGCATTTGCCTAGGAAGTGGATGAAATGTATTTGATTTGTCTTTTTTATAAGTACACGATGAAGCGTACTAACGGCAGCATATATTTCAGCACAAACTTCTAATCTGAGATAAATTAAAATAAGGCAGGCCAACAGTAGGAGTATTAAGTTATGTTTTTGTTGTTGTTTGTTTGGTTGGTTTTTCTCTGTTGGATTTTTTTTTTTTTTGGTCACACTAAAACAAAAACTGCGATCGTTTCACTTCTGGCAGGCAGCCATGACAACACTGTACTATGAAGTGGGCACTGAGATCTTACTGCTTCTTTCTTCCATACTTGTTTACTTAGCTTTGTATTAAGGCCAAGTGACACTTAATGTTTTTATTTATAATTACTGTCCTTCTAAAAGCGACATAGTGTTGCCGCACAGACAGAGTCCTCTTCCGCTTGTTCCCAGTTGCCCGTTTCCGCTCCTCCGTGCTGTTGGACCACATCATTTTGTGACTGCCAGATCAGTGGGTGGACTGACTTACTGCATGTCTTTATGGTCACTGAATCTAGGGCAGTCAAGAGACTGCCAAGCTGCCAAGTCATGCCCCCTCAGCCTTCCAAACTCTACATTTACCAAGACAAACTGACAGGACACTGGCATTGCCAATAGAATAATAGTTTTATGTCCATTCATGTCTCATCTGGGTAGCTGTGTGGTCAGACAGGTGTCTGCACCATTGTAAGATAAAGAACAGCAGTATCCCAGAAGATGAATGAGAAAAGACGGATTGCTTCTCTGCAGTGACCTACGGTTAAATTGATTCAGCAGTATAAGACTGCATAATGGGGATGGAAAAAGAGTAGAGAAACAAAAACTAAAAGCCTTGATCTCTTTGCAAAGAATTCTGGCTAGTTGGTGAGAGGAATGTTGCTGCAGGTGGCTTCAGTTTTTGTTTGGTAACTTGTTTTCATTCCATAAAAAGGAAAAACAAAATAGTGTCATAGACCTCTTAATGCACTTCTAGAGTTTTTATTTGCAAGATGGGTTGAGCAGTGTGAGAAATAATGAAACGTGAACAACACACTAGTAAGTAGTTCTTGCATACTTGCAGTCTTCTATTTCTTCCTTCTGACGCTGTGCTCAAGACTATTCATGCAGGCCCCTTCCCTTCTCTCTTTGTGTCTGGCAACTGACTGCTGCCTCGAATCACTGCTGACTGTGAAATTTGAGTTAGTAAGAATTCATCAGGTAGTACACAGATGGCGATTTTTCAGTAGCCCGGATTTTGCTTTTCAAACTTCTATTTATTTTTTTCCATCTGCCAAAGGAAGAAATCTGTATTACAGTTTGTTCTATGGGTTAATTAGTATTTTATGGGATTAAGTTTAAGCAACCTTTGCAAATGCTTCTTACCTAATGTAGGATATTTGAACTATCCTGACACCCTCATGACGTTTTGGAGCTTCTCTCTTTTCCCACCCTCTTATACTAGCAGCAGGCTCTTTGAAGAAATTTCACAGCTTCACTACTGTTACTTAAAGCTTTTAACCATTTAATGTGTATGTAAGTGTGAAAGTACGGATAGATACCCTAACTACTTATCTTATATTTTGCCTGTAGAACGTGAGTGTCCTTAGTGCTTTACCAGCATCTGTTTTTTGTTATTCCTCATAGTACTCTTTGTATATATTCCTATAGTACTACTTCATAGTAGTACTCTTCAGCTCTCAATATTGGGTGGGAGTAGAAAAATTCCATTAAGAAAATGCATCTGAATAGCTGTACTGCTTTTGGGCAGATTTCAATGCAAAATAATTGCGTAGTGTTTGTAAGGTAGCAGTCTCTTCACAAAGTTCGTATTTTTGTCATTTCAAACTGGTTTGGAGCTTTTTATACTGCTAAATTGTTTGAGACTTCAACTTTGGGACATGAACTTACAGTGGTATTCAGTACTTCCTCTTGCCTTACTAACAAGTAAATATTTGTTAAAGGAAAGCAAATTGCATTCTAGTTTTAATAGTATTTCAAAACCAAGAGACTCTAAAATTTAAGTGTTCTTTAACATATAGAACATAATTTATACTATACCTACAGTAGCAATGCTAATGTTGTCTGAATTCATATTGATATTTTGATATTTTAAGGCCCGTTTTAATTATTACTCTTTAATTGACTATTGTCAATTGACTTGTTCCTCATAATGGTTAATCTTTTTTTTCTTTTTTAGTGTTATTGGGTTGTCAAGTGCAAGTCTTTTGTTCTTGCTCATATTACGCCACTTTGCAAATAGGCAACCTAAGCCTAAAATATTTAATTTACTGTTAGTTTTTTTCTCTTTTGCTCTATTGATTCTGATAGGGTATTGCAACAACTGGCATGGAAGTTCTTACTCTTAACAATACCGTGGTGCCTTTGGGATGGCATTTTGCCACTTTTGTGTAGTGTTGTGATTAGAACGTGAGTTGAGATCTTGTTTTTAAGACATGTTGTTAGAATTGGTATGCTGAATTATATTGTCAAAATTCTATATACGGTGCGTAATAGCTGAATAGGCCCTAATAATGCCCGATGTGCCTCTTTTGAAGGATTTTTAAGGTTTCTCTAACTTTTTGCCATGTGTAGGCTTTTCCTTACATAATTCAATTGGTTGCATAATTCTATATGTGAGCATAGTTTGTAATGTGATATTCTGCAGCTCCACAATTGGCTGCTTACACTTTATCACAGTCTTCTCTCAAATCTTTCTGTATGCTTTTTTCTCTCCTTGCCTTTCTCCATAAATATATTCACTCTGCCATTTACGTTTCTTATTTCCTGTTTTTAAAATCTTTCACCCTTATGCATCAAACTGTGCTGCAGGCGCTAGCTTATTCTATTATAATTTGAGAGCTCTTTTTTTTTCTTAAGCATCTTTGGCTCCTCCTGTTTTCCTGAAGTGTTGTTTTGAAGGGCCTCCTTTTTGCTGGCCCTAAAGCCTGTGCTTGCTATTATAATTCTATGAAAATTGTTAAAGAAATCTTCCTGCCCATGGTGGCTCTCTGAACTGTTACTTTTCTTATTTTGGTATGACTTCTCCTTGGCTGTTCTTTGCTTAGCAGTGCTATTTTAGATTGCCTCTGCAATGCCCAGAGTTGGGATCAATGACAATATGAGGACATAATCCTCTAACTTCACCCTTTTATCTTTAATCTGTTCTCTGCAACAACATTTTGCCCCTGATGTCCAGCTGCAAACTTGCTTTAAAGCAGATGCAGGAGAAAACACAGATGAGGGTGACGTCAGTGTACATTTCAGGCAAACGGATTCTAGGGAGTTCTAGCATCTCTGACTGCATCTCTTCAGTAGCCCAGTAGCTATGCTTAATTGAGTGCTTTCTTCAGGAGAGTGCTTCCTGGGAGTCAGGACTTTTATTTATTTTTTTGTTTGTTAATATCATTTAATTAGGATGAAGCACATTTTGTGGACAACTGCTATTGCCTTTTTTTTTTTTTAAGTGTCTTGTGAGTTTTTAAGTACAAAAAATCTTATTTAAGAATGGATACTATACAGGTACATACTGCTATAAAAATATTATTTTGGTATGAATATATTGCGTTTTTTTTTTTTAGAAAAGTATATTATCCAGCAAAAGTACAGCGAACTCTCTTAATTATTTACAAATGTTAAGCTATAGGAAATACTTTTCTCAGCTCACATAAATTTAATTTATTAAAAATTGATTTTATACTGCCAAACAGATTTTAAGAATTTAATTTTGTTTTTAAATCAGTGAAAAAGGATATGGACTGGTTATTCAGCCGTGACAAGTCTTGTATTTACTTTAATATTTCACCACTGAATAGACAGTGGCCGTTTGGAATTGTGCTCTCTGCTTGTCCGTCCTGCTGATCCAGCAGGGTGTCTAAATTGGCTTGTTGATCTTCATCCTTAGTGTTGTTAACTGTTGATCTTTTTGTTCTTTCCCCTCTGACTATCTGGATCACTCTTTAATGCAGTCATTGCAACTGACCTTTCTCCATCTCCATTTGCTCCTTCTGATTATCCTGTTGTAATATTAGTTATGATTTTCAGCGCTCTGTGGAGAAAGGAGGTAAAAACTCATCTCTTGTTGGTAGTTTGAAAAAAAGTAAAAACTTCATCTTAGTTAAAACATGAATTTGTAAATTACTCTGAGTAATACCTAGTAATTTAGACTATGATCACTATTTAATTTAATTTTTCCACAATGATGTCTTACCAATGATGATTCTGTTGCAGAAATCTTCAACTGTTCAGTACAATTTAGTATTTCTCATAACACTGGCCTCTTGCGTGTGACAAAATCATGGAAACAGGAGAAATGAAATAACAAATAGCCTGCAAACACAGGCTAGCGTCCTGCAGTTTTGAGCTTTGAAGTGACTTGTGCTTTTTACTGGCTAATTATTTGATCTTGAATGAAGGATGAATTGAAGTGACCTAGCGATACCCAGTGCTAGGGTGTTTTAGGCATACAACCGACATATATATAAAAAAGCTGTTTTTCTATAAAATTAAAACTTCTGCAGTGGTTTTTAAACTTTCAAATTCTGTTATTTTTTACTGGCTTTCAGTAGCATGTTCAAAACTAGCATGCTTTCTTTCTCTTATTGCATGGTATATGCTGTTTCTAATTGCAGACGACTTCATCTCAACAAGAAAGCAACAGACAAACAGCCATACAGCAAACTTCCTGGTGTTTCACTTCTAAAGCCGCTGAAAGGAGTGGATCCTAATCTGATAAACAATTTAGAAACTTTCTTTGAACTGGATTATCCCAAAGTGAGTATCTACAACTTCCCAGCTGCCTTGTGTGTACCTCCCACTCTCTAGTTATGTTGGTGACCTGGGCTAGAACGACTGGACTAATTTTAATCAAGTACAGAGTGTTTTTTTTTTTTTCCCTCTTTTGTAGTCAATACATAGTTACATTTTCCAAATGTTTTTTTTTTTTTTTTTCCCAGAAGCTGAGTGCAAAGGGATACAACCAAGAGTTGTGGTCAAAACATACTTTATGCTTAACTAAGATTTTATAACTTCAGTATTGTCTCTAATTAATCCTATTATGAAATACTTTTATTTTGGAGGCCCATTTAATCATGAGGCAAAGCACCCTTATTCAATTTTATACTTCTTTGTGACAGATTGTCTAAAAAAGAACTTTTACCGAGGGCCTGATAATCATGGTTCTTGCTGGCTGCTTTTCCAGTAAAGAACTTGCTGATGTTTTGCTGTCCTTTATCAGTTGTTGGTATGTGGTATAGTCCTGAAGCCACTTGTCAGTGTTGAAAAATAAATAGTTGATAAAAGCTTATACTTGCTCTTGAACAGTGTTTGACTTTGTAATGTAAGTGATAAGTGTTTCGGATCCTGCCTGTGTTTCAAGTAGCCTATAACTTAAGGGAGAAATCTGAAAAATGCTTGCTGTATCACTCACCACTTAGTCCTTTTTTAAATCCACATTACTACTCCTAACTTTTCCTTCAAAAGGCCTTAGTTTTAAAATTAGACACAGAAATTTCTCCTCCACATTCATCTCAAAACTGCTTCGGGCGCTGCTACTTCTGTCGTGAAAGGTCAAAGGCATATGTAAGCTGTACAGTCAAGTTTGTTGTGTATTGTAGCCGAGTGCTTTGAATTCATTCCTCAGGTGGTATGGGCCAAAAAAAAAAGGGGCAGGGGGAGAGAAAGAAAATCCTTAAAACTGGTTAGCTTATTATTATTGTTGTTCTTGTTGGGGACATTTTTAAAAGCTTCAGGCACCCTTTTTCTTTCTTTATTAGTATGAAGTACTACTCTGTGTACAAGATCATGATGATCCAGCTATTGATGTATGCAAAAAGCTTCTTGGCAAATATCCAAATGTGGATGCTAGACTGTTCATTGGTAAGTTGTGTAACTCTGTGGTGGGATTTTTACAAGGTATTATTAAAGAATCCTTCAGTTATATGTGCAATATTTTAAAATAAACATCTGTCTCGTTCTTCGGATGCTCACTTGTAGCTTAATTATCTGTTAGAGAGTTGGGTAAAGGAAGTGAGTTTGCTTTTTTGGAATCTGTGACATCATTAAAAAATAGGAAGAATAATAACTTGTACACAAAAAAGTGACGTTTTCCTTTTAAATCTGCTACACAGCAATTTGAGTTCTATCTTTGCAGTGAACTAAGTATGCAGGAAGTGACTTGAAGTTAAGTCACTTAGAAGTGACTTAAATCTATTTGAGCTTGATCTGCTGCAACAATTCTTCATTCCTCGATTTAGAGCCTGTAGGACTATTTCTTCACATTCCTTTTTACTTTGCGAGGGGATGGGAACACGCTCCTCTCCCCTGCCCTGAAATAAATTGATGTCTAGAATGTCTAGAACGGCCGAGTGTGTTGTCCGTCTTATCTTGCTCCTTTTGTTTTGGTTCCAAAATTACTCTGATGTAAAACAGTCATATGCGTTATCAGTAGTCCTAACATAAAGATGCACAGAACACTTGCTGTGCAGAGTGTGGTAGCTTCATAGCCCCACTCCTCTTTTAATTATGTTAACTTTGATACTCCACCATTTTGAGGAAGCACTTTTTTTTTTCAAGTCTCTTTATCATCTTAATAAGGCGTGAAATATACAAGTGAATGAATACTTGGTATTTGAGTCCTATTCTTAATAGTAGGTGGACTTAACTGTAGCTCATTTAATATAACTAAATAGCTGGAATAAGGAGTCTGGATTCTAAAAAAGACATTCACTGCATGTGTGATATTTCTAATTTTTAGGAGGTAAGAAGGTTGGCATCAATCCCAAGATTAACAACCTGATGCCTGGATATGAAGTTGCTAAATATGATCTCATATGGATTTGTGATAGTGGAATCAGAGGTGAGTTTGTGCAGTAATGTGCTGATTGTTACATTTCCTTCTAAAGTAAGAATTCACTCCCTTCTTACTGCCTGTGGACAATTCATTTTGTTGATTGTTTTGACTGGGAACTGAAATAAAAATGAGGGCCAAAAATCTTTTTAAAATATTCTTGTGAAATAATATGTACAATGAAAACAGTGGGAACATCTCTTTTTAACCAAGTTTAACACCTTTAACTAGAGGCTAAAATTTTTTATTTCATGATTTGCCTGTTATTCATCATGATTATTTTACTTAAACTTTGCCTCAACATATTGTACAACAAGATATCACCCTGATAGTAGGAATAGAATATGAATCTTGGTACCATTGTACAGAGTGCAGAATGATCTGTCATTTATGAGCTGTCTCTTTCTCTTTTTTTAATTGTTATTATTTTTTTTTTTGTTTTTCACATAGTAACACCAGACACACTGACAGATATGGCCAACCAGATGACTGAAAAAGTAGGTTTGGTCCATGGGCTACCATACGTTGCAGACAGGCAGGGTTTTGCTGCTACTCTTGAACAGGTAAGTGTTATGTTGTCTGGACTTCCTTTGCAATATGTTTCTGACCAAAAATGGTCTGGTGCCTTTTCCATCCCTTATGTGGAAAAAAATGTTTCAGTTTCAAATGTGTTACCTGAAAGTAGATGCCTAGGATAATTTTAAATAATCTAAAGTACTCGGGTTTCTAAATTTTACCAAAGCATTCTAAATGTGGATTCAGTATGTATGATTATAATAGAAACAACAAAAAAGGCAGCATAAATGATTGATTTATCTTAAAGTTTATTACAAACTAAAGAACTGTTCTATCATTTGAAGTCAAAACAGACTTTTGTGTAGGGACACAAAAACATTCCAAAGTCTAGCTTGCAGATTATCATGATTCTGTCTATACATCCTGCTCCTCTCAGAGGCACTGCTTATGTGCTGTTTCCCTCATAACACCCTCTGAGCTTTGGGCCATTTTCATCTGAGATGTAGATGTGGATGTTTACTAATACATCATAGATTTCTTGCGTCAACTTTTCCATCTTATATTTTCCTCTGCGCCCTTAAACCCTTAATGGCAAAAAAGGTTTCACAGATGTAATCTTTGTTGCGAGATGAACCATCTCCTTTTTTTTTTTTTTTTTTTTTTTGTGAAACTACCTTTTCTGTAGTGCTCTTTTGTGTTTCTTAACACTTGTCTTGAAAGAGAAGGTGAACAGATGATTTGTATGATATATCTTGCCAGTCTTCATCTGTCCTCTTCTTCCTCCCTCTTCACTGCCTTTGAGTTCTGTGTTTTGCGGTAGGAAGGAGCAGAGTTTTCTTGTTTGTTTTTCATGTCTCAAGGAATGTAATTTCATCGCAGTATCTTTTATTCTAAACCAGTATGAGCAAGGCATTTTTGCCCTAAGGCTGGCTAATGTGTGTCAAAAGCAGAAATACGAGAGGTAGAAGTGCAGTGAAATTCAGTATTCTTTCATTACATGGAGAAAGGGCTTCTTGTGTGATCTTTGTGAAGCAGAAAGTCTGAATTAATTTCTCATGAAAAAAACAGGCAAGGAACTATGCAACAAAGTAATTAATGCTATTACTTGTTAAATAGAATTACTGCCCCTGCTTCTGTATTTCTGCGACTGCTTTTACTTCAAGATCTAGTTCAAGCCAGTCCAATTGAAGATTAGCATGCCTTTTCTTCAGTGATTAAGTAGTTCAGTAAAAGCAGTGTAAAGACCACCTGTAGGAATAGTGGTAGTGAAAGGCTCTAGCCCTCAAGCCCAACTGTCCCTTTGTAGGATATGCCTTATATTAACTTGTTAAATATTGTAAAAAGAACTGCAGCATTGCCCAGCATTTATCTTTGGTTGCACAGAACAGTCATTACTGAACTACCGTGTAAGGGGAAAGAGAGCATCTCTGTTTTAGCTATCATGAAAAAACATTAAATCCTTGTGACTGACTTACTTAAGATTAAAGGTTTTTAGTAATAATAGACAGCAATTTAACTATCATTTAATTTGCATATTCAACATGCAGTCAGTTTATGAATTTGTAAAATCACAGAATCTCAATCAGACTTCTTAACACATGTCTAACAAACATAAAAAAATGTAGATGATACTTCACAGGATTAGAAAATACATTCTTATAGGACAGCTACTGTGTATAACCAATAATGTCCTCTCTTCTGACTATTTGTTTCTCTTAATTGGCACAAGTATAGCCTTTGGAAGGTTTAGGCTGAATAATTGTCTATTCAGAAACTTGTGAATTCTTGTACATGTTCACTTGTTGCAAAATTGTGTGACTGTGTGTGTATTTGTCTTATAAATGTGGATAGCAGTAGCTCCAAGAAAGGCACGCCCTACAGAACTGGCCATTTTGAGTATGATGATGTATTTGTGATAAACTAATAGGTTTTTTTGAGTTTTGTTTAAATACAATACATCTTTCACAAAGAGAACAAAAATTGCAATTGTGATTTGTTCTAGCACTTCATTGTGTTCTGTGATCATTTAATTGTTTCATGAAAAATGTCTGAATGGAGGAACCCTTTAAATTTTTTTTGCATCTTCTGAATGTTAGGAAGCCATAGCAATGGAGATCATCATTGATGGTAAAGTGAACAAAATGTTCCGTGCAGTAGCTAAATTGCTCACTTTCTCCCATGTTGGCACCGGGGAAACCTTTAAAAGAGTTCAAGTTGCCTTCCAAAATGAAAACTTGCTTATAAGAATTGCTGAACTGTGGGGGAAAGATTCAAAATTAACAGGACAGCCACTACAAAGCAGTTTGGTTTTGAAAGTCTTTCCAAGTATGCCATCAAATTTGGCCACATCTAGGGTATTTTTTCTTTTGCCAGACCTTTTTGGAGAAATATTTATAAAAAGCTGCAACTGGAATAGTACTTGCAAAAAATATCCGTAGATTTTCAAAAGCCCTATTTATTGTCTTCTTTTGCAGGTTTATTTTGGAACTTCACATCCAAGGTCATATATTTCAGCCAATTTAACTGGCTTCAAATGTGTAACAGGAATGTCGTGTTTGATGAGAAAAGATGTCTTGGACCAAGCTGGAGGACTGATAGCATTTGCACAGTATATTGCTGAAGATTATTTCATGGCCAAAGCTATAGCTGATCGGTAAGACATCTCTGCAGCGAGCTTACTTCTTTAAGTACACTTTGAATTAATTTATTTGTTTTCTATATAATACATACTAGAAATAAACAGTTATATTTCACTGTTCAACAAAGTACTTCTGTTATGTTCTGTCCTACTAATATGGCTTAATTATTTCTCAAGGATTATATCATTTGTAATTTCTTTATAAAAGAAGTTTATGAGAACTGAGCAAATACAGTGGTATTTGGCTATTTGCTATTTTCCACTAAGACTTGATAAAACATTTCAAATTTGTTTTTTAAATCCATTGTAAGAGCATGGCACATGGGGTTTAAAAGTTTCCTCGGTATAATAATATCATGATATTATGATAATATCATAATTTACAGTACCTGAGCACCTCTTATTTGGAAGATACTTACTGTGTGTATTCATTTTTCAGGGGCTGGAAATTTGCAATGGCCACACAGGTTGCAATGCAGAACTCTGGTTCATATTCTATTTCTCAGTTTCAATCTAGAATGATCAGGTAATTTTTAATCTTGACTTTCTCCCCTGTCCTCAATAGTTATGAGAAAGAGAACTTTTCCAAAGCTAACTTTTATGTAATTCCTGGAAGGCTAAAGTTGCAATGAACATTTGGATGTACCTTTCTTCTTCTTTGGAAAATAAAGCAGTGGATTTTAAGACTGATGTATGCGCAGTTAGTGTACTATTAGCATTAGAAAGTATTAGTTTTTCAATTTCTTTTATGTGCAGTATGTTTGAAAGCATTTTTACAACATTTTGCTTAGATAAAATTAAATGAGAAACTATATTAACATGTTCTCAAGCAGAGTTTGGTGGCTTATCACTTGATGAGGTCTGGGAACAGGATATAGAGAAGAATATAGTCAAAATTGATGTTTTTTCTTTTTTTTTCCTTAGGTGGGCCAAGCTGCGAATTAATATGTTGCCTGCCACAATAATTTGTGAGCCAATCTCAGAGTGCTTTGTTGCCAGTTTAGTTATTGGATGGGCAGCTCATCATGTGTTCAGATGGGATATAATGGTATTTTTCATGTGTCACTGTTTGGCATGGTTTATATTTGACTACATTCAACTAAGAGGTGTTCAGGTATGTTGCAGCACTTTCCTTTGAAGTTCCATACGTTTCATTAGAGCTTCAGCACTAGCTATTTCAGCAAAAAGTATTGCTACTTACAGTAATGAGATGCTACTTTTGGCAATATCGAAAAAATAGGAGATCAAATTGTGTCACTTCAGTTCTTCTGACTTAAGTTAAAAAGAATAACACAAAAGGGAGACAGTGCTCAGTTGTAATTCTATTCTGTATATGCACCTGGTTCTACATAAAGTTTGGCTATATGTTTTCCTCTCTTCTTTCTAGGACAGGAAAAAAAAAACCTTTTCAAAGTATAAGAATTGAGGGGATTTAGTCTTTAGATGTTATTTTTCTTGGTGTGTTTTTTTTTCCTTTTTTGATGGGGTCAAGGGAAAGCTTGTTCATTTTTATCAATTGATGTTTTGTATCTTACAAGATCTGAGGTTTATATAAAATTACATACATTTTTTCACCGTTTTCATATTAAAAAATGAAATTGCTGAAGAGTTTAATCTGTTCTTAAAACTAGAATTTTCCTATAACTAGAAGGAATGAGGCCTTAACAAAACTTAGTATGGAAAAATATCACATAAATCAGAACAACATTTGTTCCTCTAAAGTTGTAGGAGTTCTTTAGACTTTTCTTTCTTTTCTGACAACATTTCATCAAAACTTGATCTACAGTTATCTGTGAAATCAGATTTACCCCATAGTTCTTGTCACACTGAAAAATAATCTTTGATACTTAGTGGAGGAAAAAAAAAAGAAAAACGAGTTATGGACCTAAATCTACAGGACCCTTGAAGAGTGGTCTGCACAGTCATGTTTCATCATGTGCAGCAGGAGTACTCTGATACTAGAGTAAGCTTTGTGCTTGCTTTTCTGAAACCTCTTCAGTTCCAGCTCCGCGTGTGGCATAAAGTTCTCTATGAAGCAAAAAATGTAGAAAGGCTATAAGCTGTTTTTTTTTTTTTTTTTCCTAACCA